CCCCAAAAGTTTTACAATTAAGACATAGCCTTAATTTTGAGAAGAAATCATGTTGTCTGAGAGCAAGAAGCGCAGAAGCCCTGGGTACGAGGTTGTTAAGCTGCCTATGTTTGTGTTAGGTCACAGAGTAGAGACATACAGAGACGTAACTAGTGTACCCACTTTTTTGTGCGCATGCTCGGCAAGTTACTAGATGCATGCATCTGATTGGATGACGACCTGATGACGACTCACTTTAAACTTGCTGAGCACGCGCAGTTGATCATTTTTCGCCCGGTTGCCTGAAAAAAAGTGGGTACATGATAACGTAATCTTCAGCAGTGTTTACAACGGTCAGTTACGTCTCTGTATGTCTTATCTACTCTGTGGTTAGGTTGTGACATATGACAAAACATAAGATTTTTAAAGTTTTTTTCTTCCTTACACGAGCGCTATGATGCAAAATGCCGTCAATGTTAGTTCTACTAATTTTCGGGTGACGTCCATGTTGAGAAAAACGTCGCTTGCTTAAGCTCACTAATGCGCATCAGAATTCGTTACAATTTGCGGTTCAGCCGGTCTTTCTAAATTACTTCAACGCGTAGGGGAAGAACGTTTAAGATGACCTTGTCTGTTTATTTTTTGTCGTTGTCACAAACTGGCATTTTTACAGCATAACAAAACGTAATTTCCTTGCTTTCTTGTGTACATCTGCGGATAACAAATTAGGATGAAGTTTCATATTTTGCTTACGACTAATTATTACTCTACTTGCAGATTGTTGCAGCACTCGTCCATCTCTCGCATACATGTAGGTTAAACCGGCCGTTGACGCGGCGAGATGTATTGCTTCGAGATAATGATGGCCGAACGGCACTGAGTTATGCTGCGGAGCCCCGTTGTCCAATTGAGGTAAGAAATACAATAAAATAGAAGTGATACAACTAAGTAAGAACCCTCATTCAAACTCAGAATCGTCATCAAATTTGAACCAGTAAACACATGAAATTCAATGGACAGCTAACCCCGTACATTTCCCGTGTGAACAAATAGAACTGGTGTCCCAGGAAATTTGGCCCCCCCAAAATTTGCCCCCCCCCCCTTGGGGGGGGGGACAAATTTATTTGGCCCAGGACCGAATGTTCGGGGGGGGGGCAAATTTCCTGTGACACCGGACGAATTTGTGTATATACTGTTCCGAATTCTGTCTGCTATCCTGTAAATACAGTTTAAGACTGCATGCAGTTCTGTCAAAAAGGTCCAGGAGATTAAGATTCTTTTCATTTAGTACGTTCAGGGGCTTGCTTTCAGTTAAGTTGCTGTAAAAGGTGAAGCAGAATTCCTTATGGAGAATTCTAGTTATTATGGCCTGCACAAATCACAGCTGGGATTTGCCAAATCCAAAATATTCTGGCACGTTTAGCCAGGGCTTTATCCAAGCACCAACTGACCTCCGGTAAACGGTAATATTACAAATTATTTTCGAACTAAAATAAACGAACATTATTTTCGAACTAAAATTTAAAATTTACACAACCTTGAGCTGGAAGAGTGAAAAAGCCGCAGAAAAAATGCACTCGAATACGAGTACATCGATGCATGGCATCTTTGGTCGATGCATGGCCTCTTTGATGCATGGCCTCTTCCCCAACGCTTACATGAGATTACATTATTCAAACCACGCGGTTACAATAGTGAGTTTAAGCTTCACGTTTCCGGTGTGAAGCGAAATTCCTGACCTCTGCGAAATACCTGATGCAGGCGCGAAATACATGACGCTTGCGAAATTCTAAGTCGGCCGAAACGGTTTTTTAGATTTTTGACTAGGTTACCCACAGGGTAGTAATGCTGCCTTTAGCGGCAAAAGACAAACTACAGGGTGTTGGACGAGTCCTTCAGAAACATCCTATTATTCTTATCCTTGGTAACCCATTTATTGACAGTACCCTACCACTGACTGAGTATTAAAAATCGTCTGGCGTTGGACAGAGTAAATACTAAAGTAGGGGTCTTTAATACGGTGCTGATGGATTAACAAGAGACAGTGACAGATAGGTTTGTTAACCTATTTACTGGCAGTACCCTATACCACTGACGGGTAAAATCTTCTGGCGCTGGACAGTGGAAGGGCGCATTGCCAGCTAATGGGTTAAACTACTGTGGTTAAATATAATATTTTATGCTCCAGGAAATGTAAAAAGCTATCAGTGTGACATCCCAGTTTATTTATATACTCGGAATATTGATTTCTCGGTATATACAAAATTATTTTAAAGTATAACAATCAGCGAAGAAGTAAGCCACTAACTACCCTGCGCAGGCTAGCCACTAACGTTTCTATAGTATGTTTTAAATAAATTATACACAAACGTTTCGCGACAGCTGACCTCTGAACTTTGATAAATAAATCTGATTATTGCGCGTTCTAAGTCTATATCATATACAGCGTCGATTTCTCACACAGCGTAGCTATATTAATATGGTTCGGCTCACCACAAACTTTCGTTGAGTGCTGATGTTTATTGTTTAGCCAGTTAGGACGCAACTCTGCAATATGTCGCATATTTTCGCATGAGAAACTAAGCAGGATTGAGAAATCGACGGTGTATATGATATAGACTTAGAATGCGCTGCAATAATCAGCTTTATTTATCGGCGGTCGCAAAACGTTTGTGTATACATTTTTAAAAAACATACTAGAAACGTTAGTGGCTAGCCTGCGCAGGGTAGTTAGTGGCTTACTTCTTCGCTGATTGTTATACTTTAAAATAATTTTGTATATTCCGAGTATAATAAATAAACTGGGATGTCACACTGATAGAATACAAAACAAGTGAAACTCCAAAAATCGATAACATTTTTATTTATCTACGTTTCGACTATATTTCAGTCATCAGGATAAACTAGCTAAGTTATATATCAAAAGCTTTTTACATTTCCTGGAGCATAAAATATTATATTTAACCACAGTGGTTTAACCCATTAGCTGGCAATGCGCCCTTCCTCGTCAGTGGTATAGGGTACTGCCAGTAAATGGGTTAACAAACCTATCTGCCACTGTCTCTTGTTTAGAATCCATCAGCACCGTATTAAAGACCCCTTATCCTTGTTAACCCATTTATTGACAGTACCCTACCACTGACTGAGTATTAAAAATCGTCTGGCGTTGGACAGGGTAAATACTAAAGTAGGGCCTACTTTAGTATTTACCCTGTCCAACGCCAGACGATTTTTAATACTCAGTCAGTGGTAGGGTACTGTCAATAAATGGGTTAACAAGGATAAGAATAATAGGATGTTTCTGAAGGACTCGTTCAACACCCTGTAGTTTGTCTTTTGCTGCTAAAGGCAGCATTACTACCCTGTGGGTAACCTAGTATTATCTTATTACACATGCAATTTGATATTCTGTAGCTCATATTCTTTCGAAATTATTTTATCCATGAAAGAAATGCTTCTTAAAGTTATGCTTAGCAAAAACAAATTTATGATTAGGAGCTTAAGACCCCGTTTACACGGTACCGGACGAATTTGGAACCGGACTAAAATTCCCCCGTTTCGGCCATGTAAACACACGAGAACCACGGAACCGGCCGAATTTGAGACCCCCTAACAGGCCGAATTCTCGTGTAAACAGGCGAAAAAGGACGAACTTCAGACCGGTCCCAAATTCGTCCGGTACCGTGTAAACGGGGTCTTAGGAATGAAGTTTCATATATTGTTGATGATTAATTAATTAAATACTACTCGTTAACTTGCAGATTGGACTGATGATCCTTGACTTCTATCTCATTCCGGTATGTTTAATCACATGCGGTCCTAGTTGTTAAAATATATTTATTCGAATTTTCAAATAATTGAGAAATAGAATTCATTTACCTCTACTATAGGGTGCACTTATCTTTATGTGTTAGTTTGGATGTGATCAACCTCGTGCCCAGGCTCTTTCCACTACGCTCCAGAGCCTGGGTACGAGGTTGGGATGTGATTTGAGCATGTTTTCGTTCAATATTCCAGGCTTAATTAAGACACAGATCGACTTCACAATTCGTTCTCGCTTCACAACGTAATTCGCCAAATCGCCACAGAATCAACAGACTCGTAAAGCTCAATACATATTAAATATCCCATCACATTCATCGTTTAAAAATCGAATTTCCATAGTTGCATGAAAACCTCTGAAACCGCGACCCCATGTCACAGTTAAGGAACACCGCAGAAAAATGTCTGCGCATGCACCAAATTATGAAAATATGGCGGGTAATTTGAATATCAATTTCTAAAACAAAAACATGCTTACTAATTGGTCAAAAATTAGTAAAACAAACGAAAGAATATAGCAAATGGGTAGACTAGACATTTATTGAAAGCGTCCTGGCATGTAAAGTATGGAATGAAATATAATTCATGTAAAAAATTGTTGATTTTAACGGACACGACTTCGAAAATTTTTGCAAAATTATTCAAAACAAAAATTCAAACTAAAAAGTTAAGAAAACTCACGAAAAGTTAAGCTTCTTAACCCACTCAAATTGTAGAATACATCCTAAAGTTTAATTATTGTGACAATTTTTTTATATTTGGCGACATAGTTTTTTTAAAAGAAATGTATCTCAAACAAAAATTCGGAAATTGTCGTTGCTTAGTTGATAAACAAAATGTTTCAGACGATAAATTTGTCGACAATCACCTTTAGTTCATGTTCTTGTACATGCAGTACAATTTCTTGAACCTTCTGGCTGCATTTATTCTTAGTTTTTAGAATGACATGTTTATTTTTGCGCTCGAAATCTGGCTGTAAAGACGCACAATGAAGTCATTCCGTTTGAGCCTTCGGAAACGTTCGGAACAGCTTCTCATCAAGTTCGCAATACTATTACAGGTAAGCTTGACGCATGCGCAGACGTTTTTCCGCGGTGTTGTATATAGGAGTTCAAAACGTAAACAAAGTTCGCGCATGTGCACAGGGTTAGACATCATCTTTAAGCGTTTAATGCATTTTTACACATTTTGCTGGGCTGCCTACGTTGAAAAGCTAAATAACTGTTCTTTCCTCGTATGTAAAAATTGAACCGTTTACCCACGTTTATGATTCACGACAGCCTATTGAATTTCCATAGTGTTTTTTTTTAGACACCCTGTATACAGACTAGCAAGTTGATAAAAACGAGAATATATACAGTATATACAGTTTTGACTATAGACCTGTATATTGTGTATATTTTGTATACACACTATATACACAATTTACACTATGTACAGACTAGCAAGTTGATAAAAGCGAGAATATACAGTATATACAGTTTTGACTATAGACATGTATATTTTGTATATGTATACACTAGGCTATATACACAATATACACTATAATATATACAGACTAGCAAGTTGATAAAAGCGAGAATATACAGTATATACAGTTTCGACTATAGACATGTATATTGTGTATATTTTGTATATATATACACTATAATACACACTATACACTATATACAGACTAGCAAGTTGATAAAAGGCAAGCGAGACTATACAGTATATATAGTTTTGACTATAGGCCTGCATATTGTGCATATTGTGTATAATTATTGTGTATTTTTTGTATATGTATACACTATATACACAATATACACTATATAGAGAGTTAGAGACTAGCAAGTTGATAAAAGCGAAAATATACAGTATATACAGTTTTGACTATATAGACATGTATATTGTCAACTGTGTATAGCAGATGAGTATATATTATATAATACCTTATTGAATTGTGATCGTTTAATTGGCTGTTTATGGTCACGTGATATTGAATAGAAAATTCCATTTCCCAACAGTGCAATGGAATACGTTCCATTGCACTCTTTGCGAGTGCAATTGTACTATACGTTTTATTCCACTGCACTCTTTGTGTTTTCGATAAATCGCATCCGTCAAAATGCTTCTCGTACGGTGATCGCAGTTTATTTTAACCCGATATTCGAAACTCAGTAAATGGGATTTAATGCAAATACGACTCGTCAAAATGGCGGGAGCTTGCAGTAAACCTTTTAATATTAGTCTATTTTGGTATTATATAAAACAAGTAATAAACAATTATTGGATGATGCTGAGCATGATATCAAGAATTATTCAGACCGAGGTCAATGTTATCTGCCGAAACGAAGCTGAGGCGGATAACATAGACCGAGGTCTGAATAATTCTTGATATCATGCGAAAGCCGAATCCAATAATTGTTTTATTATACATTTAAAACATGAGAAACGTATAAAACGATTCCTGTTCATGAGGTAGGAAAAGTACAATTTGAATATCAAACACCTTGCACAAATTCAAAGGTCAGCTAAATATTCTATTTCTACTTCTATTTACCCCTTTGTGGCTTTTTTCGTGCTTTCACTATCCTTATCTGCCAATAATTTGGAGAGTTCACTTTCATTCAGCGAAGCAAATATGCTGTAGGCCATTGTTTGTTTGTTTTTTTCGCGCGCTTATAGGTTCAAGCTTTTGGCCACGTAAGGGTTTGAGCACGAGAGAGTCCAATAATTTTTTTTTGGATGCAAGTTCGATCCAAAAAAAACAATTATTGGACGCTGATGACGTCATCGGCGGAAAATACGTAATAAATGCCGAATACTGAAAATTAGCCGGTGCTTTCTGACCAATTAGAAACGAGAATACATATTAAATGTATAATAATTGGTGTTATGTATACTCAGGTGAATATGTTTGTAGTCTTACTCTGAGTGTGATCCACACCGGACAAGCTGAAAAGTTTGGGTTCAATTCCCACCGTGGTCAGGCAAACTTTTCAGCTTGCCGGGTGTGGATGCACACTCAGAGTGTAACATCACGAACATCGTATACTGTATATTGTATACTGTATACTGTATACTTCAAATCCAGCATTCAAGATCAACAAACTAAGACAAGTGCAAAAACGTTTATTGTGTTTTGTATGTACCTCTTTCTGTATGGTCAATTTAACTTTAATTCTTTTTGAATGAGGTTCTGTCCAAACAAACCCAGCATCAATTAACCTAACCTAGAAATAAAGATTTATTCATATCAAATATTCACTGTAAAATTCAACTGATTAGAACGTCAAATACGCAACGTATGCCAACCTTGGACAAGCCTTTAAGTTTCTTTAGACACAATGCCAAAAGCTCTCTCGACTCCAGAGTGCAGCTTACCCAGGTGTTTGGAGGTTGAAGGTATCTGTAGGTAGGTGTAATAACTTAATGTGTAATTATAATTGTTAATTATTCAGTAACGTATTGGTAAAACGTAAACATGTAATCATATATTCATAGTACCTGAGTTTACAAACTCATCAGACCATATTCTTTTGTATTTTGTCGGTTTTTAACTTCTCCGTAATAACCTTCAATCTAAAAGCAGGCGGTGGTATTTGATTTCTCCGGGAGAAATACGGGGTTGAAGGTTATTACGGAAAATAATAACCGGGTAGCAGGTTATTACGGAAAAATAATAACCGGGTAGCAGGTTATTACGGAAAAATAATAACCTGCTAGTCTAAGGTAGCAGGTTATTACGGAAAAATAATAACCTGCTAGTCTGCTTACCAGGTTATTTTTCCGTAATAACCTGCTACCCGGTTATTATTTTTCCGTAATAACCTGCTACCCGGTTATTACGAAAAAGTAATAACCGGTTACCCGGTTTTACATTTTCAATTCAAGACCTGGCCATGAGTCTTGAATTCGGGACTTGAAGTTGCAGGAAAACTCAAGACCCACATCTCCTTCTCGACTAGAAAACGCTGCACGTCTCTAAGTCGAGAAAGAGACAACAGCCGTGTACCTCAGAGCCCGTCAAAACTCTACCATTAGGTAAGAGTATCTATCATTCGGCGCACGAGGACTAGCTGGATCAACCATCAGACATGCTTGTGCAGGGAATTTATACAGTAATATCTGCTCTTTTGCTTGTGGGACGTGAAATGATATACTGCGCATGCTTAACCACATTTTAAAGCGTGTTAATGCGCATGTTACACCTAGTTATTTCGTCCCACAACTGCAGCGACCTCTCATTGAATTAATATAGCTTGAATTTTTAATGAAGAAAACCTCCAAAATACAAAAGAATATGGTCTGATGAGTTTGTAAATATAGGTTAAAAGCCAAGGGAGAGGTTTTTATTAAACTGTAAAGACCTCGGGCCTTCGGCCCTCGGTCTTCACAGTTTAATAAAAACCTCTCCCTTGGCTTTTAACCTATATGTAAAGACATTAAGATTAACAAGACGCTCTGCGGAGCGTTAACTCGCTGGGGCTACACAACTGACGCACATTGCTGTTAAGATCTAAAGATTGATTTCCACTGGCACTGTTGCGTTTTTCGTACGCACGTACACGCACGTAAAACTTTGAATCCTTCTATTTTTAAATATTTTACAAATAAGTTAACAAATTCATACTAAAACTTGCGGAGCAGTAAATTCTGTTGCTTTATTTATTTGGTTATTTTTACAAATTTAAAGTTTTACGTGCGTATATTAAGCCTTTAAGCCTGGCCCCGAGCTAAGGGGAAACTTCCGGCGTTTATGCCCACAAGTAAAATTATATTTTATAGTACGCTACATTCTTTTCTTCTGTCGACCGCCAGTTTAAAACGTTCAAAATAAAATATTTTGGGGGCTTTTGGGCTCAAAATATTACCAAAATGAAGAGAGACGAATCCACTGGTGTACGGCCGAAAAAGAAAAAAACAATGATACCAAAGTTATCAAGGATCAAACGTACTGCATCTTTTATTATTTGAGCGATTTCTCAACAAATAATACAATTTCGCTTGGCTTTCAAAGACAAAGTCAGAGGCCATAAATCGCTAGAATACTGTTGTCAGTTGTTTAGTAATACATTTGACATCCGTAGGTACAATTTCTCATCCGTAAGTACAATTTCTTACGCTGAATCGAACGGTGGTATTTTTATTCTTATTGCGCCATTAATTAGGCAATACAAATACAAGGTCAAGGACAAACGTACTGCGAGTGATTTGATGTCAACAATACAATTTCGCTTGATTTTCAAAGGCCATAAATCGCTAGAATACTGATGTTTAGTAATACATTTGACATCCGTAAGTACAATTTCTTACGCTGAATCGAACGGTGGTATTTTTATCCTTATTGCGCCATTTATAAGAGGCATTACAAATACAATATGTTTCGCACTGAGTACACTACAGACAGTTTTCACGGACTGTTGTTCGATAAATTTTATATTGATATGACACCGATATGCTTCTCATAAAGTAGTCACAACTTAAACTGCACAACGTAGTTTTAATAAATAACCTTTTACTTTGAAATTGTCTTTGGCTCTTTATATTCAGACTCAGTATATTATGATCGTGCACGGGAATTCAACGATCCAAATTTCGGATTTTCAGAGTCGTGCACCAAGAAACACGCATTAAATAAACTAGCATGAATGTCCAGAGTTAGACACAAAACAAAATCCATAGAAAACAGGTACAATTCGGCCAAAATTTTCACGAAATGGGGCCCGGAATTGTTTGAAACATTTTGCCCACTCCACGAAAGGCCCCGCCATTTTGAAAAGGATCAAGCAGCTCATTAATATTCTATTTTGTGGCTATCGACGATCCATGATCCGTGACAAATGCAAGCCGAAATCTATACTCGTCTGGGGCACAGGGTGCCCCAGCGAGTAATAAAGCATGCATGTGCACAGCACAACAGTAGGAATCAATGAAACTGTGATGTATGGCAGAAGTCTTAGTGGTGATGGTGATTGTGGTGGAGATGGTGATAATAGTGGTAGTGATGGTGAGTGGTGATTGTGGTGGTAATGATGGTGGTCGCAATGCCGACAGTAGTGGTGTAGTGATGATGGTGATGATAGTGATGATGGTAGTGATGATGATGGTGGTGATAATGACGGTAGTGAAGATGATGCTGGTGATAATGATGGTAGTCACTGGTAGTGATGATGATGGTAGTGATGATGATGGTGGTGATAATGATGGTAGTGAAGATGATGCTGGTGATAATGATGGTAGTCACTGGTAGTGATGATGATGGTAGTGATGATGATGGTGGTGATAATGATGGTAGTGAAGATGATGCTGGTGATAATGATGGTAGTCACTGGTAGTGATGATGATGGTAGTGATGATGATGCTGGTGATAATGATGGTAGTCACTGGTAGTGATGATGATGGTAGTGATGATGATGGTGGTGATAATGATGGTAGTGAAGATGATGCTGGTGATAATGATGGTAGTCACTGGTAATGATGATGATGGTGGTGATGATGATGGTATAGAGATAATGATGGTAGAGATAATGATGGTGGTAGTGATGATGATGACAATGGTGGTAGTTATGGCGGCGATGATGGTGGTAGCGATAATAACAATGATGGTACTGTAATAGTGATGTTGGCATGCAATAATGATGATGATGATGGTGGTGGTGCAGGTAGTTCTGGTGGCGATGATGATGATGGTAGTAGCAATGGTGGTGATAATGTAAATGATGATGGTGGTGGTAGTGATGGTGGTGATGGTGTTGGTGATAATGATGGCGTTGGTGATGATGATGGTGGCAGGCCTCTAAATAAATCTGGATGTTATACCAGTCATTATGACAGGTGGATCACTAAATTTACCGGTCACAGCGGAATTTATGCCGGTCGTTGTCACTCCTTAGCTTCTTTTTCCCCCTCATCTTTGGCGTGACTCGTAACTTTAGAAACAATTGTGTATTTTAATTATTGTATACATAGTAGAAGTATGCATGGCGTTTATCAAATCGCAAGGCGTTTATCAAAAAGCAATTTACCATGAATATTTCGTATTTGGACGCTGACAAACAGAGCAATTGTTTACCATGCTTGCTTGTTAAGTCGCAAATGACAACTGTAGTTGCGAACTTGCGAGCATGCTGCAAGGTCGCATTCGAGTTACGCGTTTTCACGCACGTAACAGTTGAAATCGCTTTACATCCTACTTATGAAATAACTAAATTTATAAAAGGACAGCATTCAGTTTTGTGTATGATTTAATATGTATTTGTAAGGTTATAACTTATTTGCAATAATATGAAAGATTTAAACTTTTCTGTCGCAGGTGTGAAAAACGTGTAACATGAAAACAGCCCTTAGGCACAATGCTTGCGGTAAATCGTATCCGTACGACAAAGTGTGTCACTTCGCCGCCCTCATTAGCCTGCGCCTTAGACGGACATACACTTCTTTGGAAACTTGGAAATCAATAATCTGCTCCATTTTTGAACGTAGTTTTTATTAAAAAATTTACCGGTCACACATGTCCGCCAGATGCCGGACGATTTTTGCCGGTCAAACTGTGAAATTTTACCGGTCAGTGACCGGTGACCGGCACTTATCTCGAGGCCTGGATGGTGGTGATAATGATGATGATGGTGGTGATAATGATGATGGTGGTGATGATGATGATGGTGATAATGGTGTTGGTGATAATGATGGTAATAATGATGATGGTGGTGATAATGATGATGGTGATAATGATGATGGTGATAATGATGATGGTGGTGATAATGATGATGGTGATGATAATGATGGTGATAATGATGGTGTTGGTGATGATGATGGTGGTGATAATGATGATGGTGGTGATAATGATGATGGTGGTGATAATGATGATGGTGGTGGTAATAATGATGATGATGGTGGTGGTAATAATGATGATGGTGGTGATAATGATGGTGGTGATAATGATGATAATGATGATGGTGGTAATAATGATGATGGTGGTGATAATGATGATGGTGGTAATAATGATGATGATGGTGGTGATCATCTGAGCGATGGTGGTGATGATCGTGGCGTAGTGATAGTGATGGTAGTGATGATGGTGGTGATGATGACAGTGGCAGTAGTGAGTGATGATGGTGCTGATGATGATTATGGTGGTGGTAGTGCTGGTAATGATTATGGTAGTGCTGATGATTATGGTGGTGGTAGTGATGGTGGTGATGATGATAACGAGAATGGTAGTAGTGATGGTGGTAACATTTTATTAAAAAATTTACCGGTCACACATGTCCGCCAGGCGATGATTTTTGCCGGTCAAACTGTGAAATTTTACCGGTCAGTGACCGGTGACCGGCACTTATCTCGAGGCCTGGATGGTGGTGATAATGATGATGATGGTGGTGATGATGATGATGATGGTGGTGATGATGATGATGATGGTGATGATGATGGTGGTGATGATGATGATGATGGTGGTGATGATGATGATGATGGTGGTGATGATGATGATGATGGTGATGATGATGGTGATGATGATGGTGGTGATGATGATGATGATGGTGGTGGTGATGATGATGGTGGTGATGATGATGGTGGTGATAATGGTGTTGGTGATAATGATGGTGGTGATAATGATGATGGTGATAATGATGATGGTGGTGATAATGATGGTGATAATGATGGTGTTGGTGATAATGATGATGGTGGTGATAATGATGATGGTGGTGATAATGATGATGGTGGTGATAATGATGATGGTGGTAATAATGATGATGGTGGTGGTAATGATGATGGTGGTGGTGATAATGATGATGGTGGTGATAATGATGATGGTGGTAATGATGATGATGATGGTGGTGATCATCTGAGCGATGGTGGTGATGATCGTGGCGTAGTGATAGTGATGGTGGTGATGATGGTGGTGATGATGACAGTGGCAGTAGTGAGTAATGATGGTGCTGATGATGATTATGGTGGTGGTAGTGCTGATAATGATTATGGTGGTGCTGATGATGATGGTGGTGGTAGTGATGGTGGTGATGATGAAAACGAGAATGGTAGTTAGTGATGGTGGTAACAATGATAATGGTGGTGTGGCAACAAAGACAATTGGATTGTCTATGGTGGCAATGAAAGTAGCAGTGGTGGTAGTGATAATGGTGGTGATTCCTGGGGGTCTTACTGTATTTATTTCAGGAACCTTTTGGGAGGCTTATTGGAGGTGATTTAACTCAGAGGGAAGCAATTGCAATGTAGGGAGGCATTATACAGGATACACAGTAAATTAATATGGAATTGCTGTCAAACTAAATATAAGCAGTACACATGCGTTTGTAGGATCTAAGGGGAGGGATTAATGATGCGATGCATAAAAAATTGCTTCCAGTAAAAGAGGACAGTTATTTGAAAGGCGCAGGGGAATTGAGGATTTATAGTAATTCATATATAATTTCAAACAGCACAAAATTCACAAACTAAATATTCACCACACCACTCACCTTTCACAAGCCTTACAGAAATTCAGATGAACTTGCTTTGGGATACCTTCAGTGATATCAACTTGAGTTCTCAAACATGCTACACACATGTTTGAAGGGTTTGGCTGAGTTGCTGTACCACATTGGCAGCACAAACTAAAAAAACCCACAAAAATTACTTCAAGGGTACTACAGTAGGTAGGTAATTCATTAAGCACTATTCCGATCTATAAAAAAACTGCACAGTTCAAAAATGTCTGCTAAACTGAAAATTTCGCAAAATTTGTGAAAACTTCCGGCAAGCACGGGTAATTTGGGGTGATCTGCTAGCCAGTGGAGTGATTCTAGAATACTCCCACTAACCTACTGTAAGCACTAACATAACCACTAACCTATATTATAACCACTAACATAACCCTCACACTAATGCACCTATCAATGTTAAGCCCCAGAGGGGGGCATATGTGGGGTTTTTGATCATCAATTGCATCCCCACCCTCGGGAATTTGATTAGCACTTTGAATCAAATGACCTTTATTGATACAGTATTTATTGTAATTTATTGCAAAATGGTGGGGTATTTGGCCAATATTTATTGCCTGGCAGTGGGGCATTTGATTGGAAATTGGATAAAAAAATCAAATGCCCCTGTATGCC